TCCATTAACTACATGTAATATTATTTACCTAAGTGGGCCTTCTGGACTATTTCATAACTCAGATTTATAACCTCTTAAAAAAAGATCAATATTACTGAGCGCACAGCCTCTGAGCCTGATGAAAGAGTGGGGCCATTTTAGCAGTTATGCTCCGTGATTTCCAGACCTGAAGTCCAGATCAGAAATGCAAAATGAGGAAAATGCTCTCCCTGAAATACTAAAAAGAAAGAATAGCCTTGGAGAGAAGGATGGAGGGAAGCAGTGAAGCAAGATGTATTGGCAGAGGTCAGTTCTTTTATTGGGCTGATACAGCTGGAAAATAGAGGCAGGCTTCCCAGCACATGAACCCTTCCGCAGATCCGAGAGAGAAGATGCAGTGACATTTAAAGCCACACACACAGTTTTGCCAACATGTGTCAGAGCGCATCTCCAGTAGGAGGGAACAACCAACCGCTCAATTTGCAACTTGGCAGATGGGGTGTTTTGTTGTCTGCTCTAATGTGTGATGTGAGTTGGCTGCTCGCGCTGAGTCCCGTCAAGTGGGAAAGGTGGCTCTTGTCTATGGAGCTTGTGTTCAAGTCCAGTATTTGATTTGTTCCTCGGGTAGTCAGATGCTCACATCAGCTGGGAGCGATGAGCTCTGCTATCTAAATTCAGTACCCCTATAAGTCTCTGCTGCTTCCCTTACACAGGGAGCTCAGCAATCGGGAGCAATAGTGCTTTTCCACCTCGTAATCAACATCGTGAAAAGTCAAATGATGATAAAAGCAAATAAAAGCCACGAAGGTCATATTTTATAATGGGCTTAGTGACTACATGGAGGTAACCAGCACTGGCGCCCGCTCTTTCACTTAGACTCATCCCATGTCATACGGGTCATTCTGATTCCCGTGAGACAGTGGCACGTGGGAGTGTGTTGTGCGTGTACAGTGGGAAATGAGGGATGGTTCAGCTGCTAACGGATCCTACAAAAATTTGTAGTGAGATCTCATGAAATTTTCTGTGGCAAAAGGCAGTGCTGCTGAGTGACCTTTGCCTGTCTATCTTCGTGAACCACGTCTCTAAGTAATGGCTGCTCTTGAGTGCTGCTGCCCTGCTCTTCTTTCTCCTTTCCCTCTCCACTGCTTCTTACACATCGCTCAGGCTGCCTGCCTTGCCTTTCCCCGTGCTACCACACATCGCTCTAAAATTTGGGCGATTTTCATGATGATCTCTCTCCAGCATGAAACATTAGAAAGGAAAGCTAATTTTCGGTCTTTCTGTTGTCTCTTCCCGCTTGGTACTGAAGTGATCTCTGGGTCACCTGGACGTGATACCGCAGTGTGATGAGTTGAGTTTTTGGTCTAAAGTCGTGAGCCAGGGTGGGAGACACACGAGGGTGCTGAGGACAGTGCAGTGTCTGCAGAGAGTGCTGACTGTAGATTTCGTATAGACAGTGACATGTATAAAGCCACTTCTTAGTTTTCGGCAAAAGCCGTTGTTTTCAACCCTCGACTGATGTTATGCCATTCCCTTGTGACTGTAACATGTCCATCCCAAGAGTCCAGGCTAAAAGCAGGCAGCAGGAGATCCCAGCAAACACACCCGTAGCAGCTGTGACGCCATTTCACTCTTCGGAGTGCAAAAAGTGGCTCTGTTGATGCAGGGGATAGATACGTCTGAACGGAGTGTTGGAGGATGCAGAGAAATTTTTGCAGGGATAGAAAAACCATTTTGTGCTATTAGACAAAGTGATGTGGCTGGAAACCTTCCTTCCCCAAACCAGACAAGCAGTTTCTGCCAGGTGTGGCTGCTTTCCAGGGGCTAAAGCTCTCATTTCTGTGCCAGGCAACACAGAACTGGTGTCAGGCTGAAATGGCTTGAAGATTTGGACTGATAGTTCAGGGAGAAGGCTGACCCAGCTGGAGAGAGGTGATAGAGTCCAAACTGTGTGGTAAGTCCTCTTCCCCTTATCTTGTGTGGTTTGTTAGATGGTTCTCGTAGTTTTCCTACACCTGTTTGTGCTGCAGGTATCACCGTTGCATTAGTCTGTCACTGGATATTGTCTGATGCATCTGCAGTTGGGCATAGACTGGAAAAAATTTTCTTTGCCTCAAACATTAACTCACGTAGTAGAAAATGCCTCTCTGTGAAGAGAATTAGTATGGAAAATGTGCATTTTCAGGGTCTGTGCACAGATTCTAAAATTTTAATGTGACTGTTTCTGTTTTCCTTGCCTTTCAAGTACTTCATTGTTTCTTCTCTCTAGGCCCCTATGAATTGCCTGCCCCTTTTCTTACCTGGATTTCATCAGTATTTTTGTTGGTTTTTAACTGTTAAGCAGGAGAGAGTACCACTCAGACAAACAACTGGTCTATGGTCTACCAGTGTTCTTTGTTTCTTTCACCAAGAGATGCTCCCTCCAGGAGCTTGGTGTTAGTGGGAAGCGACAGCTAGAGAGCCGTGATCCTTGGGCTCATTCCTTCCATTCACGTTTGACTGATGCTCCGTTGGCCGGTTTTGGAAGAGAGAGACGTCAGGTTTGGAAGCTGTAATTGTGCTGGACCTCAGGCCGAGGGGCAGCTCAACAGCTAAAGGTTGTGCTGAAATCTTCTATGTAATCCAGACAGACATATATTTGTTTTGATACTGCGTGCTAGCATTTCCAAACCCAGCTGGCAGTGTGTGTTTGTTAGGCTATGCAGATGACAGCATGAGAAGAATTCAGGGCAAATCATTCATTTTGTGAGTCTTTCCTGTTTGGTTTTATTGCAGCTTCTTAAGTGCTTTAAGTTTTAACAAAATGCTTTCTTGGACTGGGGTTGTACTGGGAGATGAGATCTCACTGAGAAGTTAAGTTATCTGAAGCTTCGTTTTCTTTCTACAAGATTGTTGGAAAGGAAGGGGATCCCATTCTGGCAATGATGTTTCATAAGGCGACATTTGTTATAACTCATTGCAAATGTTACTCACCATCTACAAAACATTCAATTAAACTGAAGAGCAGTGAAAAATATCCAGTTCCACTTTAGCAGTTGCACTTGTCACCAGAATCCCTCAGGTTTTTTTGAAGCCAACAGATTCCCCGCTGGAGACCTCCATACAGTGGCTGCTGTCCTCTGCCACCAGTCCCACCAGTTGGTGTTCTCTGCTTCTGTGAGCTAGATTGTCACACAAGGACAAAATTTCCCTTCCCATTTGGACTTCTCCTTCTTTCCCAAAGATCTCTTTGGTCCTTGTTATCAGACCTGTTCTGCATCCGTTTGTGTCTTGTCAGTATCTCAGTGGTAACTGGCTGACCCCGCAGGGCTAACATTTTCAAAAACAAAATTTGAAAAATGACCTGTGATCCTTAGTCCTTTTGAAAAGCAGAGTAGTTGGTTATACTTGTAGTTTATTGAGACTTCAAGCTCTTAAGTCACTCGAGATTGTTCCTTAGTTCTAGAAGCTTTAGTGGCAGAATGTTTCCCTAGAAAATAAGCCAATATATTTGCAATGGTGTCTATTCAGATCATAGGTCCATTTGCCCCTAACAACTTTGTGTGTGTCTTCAGGTTGAAGCACGTGTGCAGAGAGCCGTAACTCTGGCAATGTAACAAACAAAAACTTCTCTTACTTGTAGGAAACCAGGATAGTGAAAGAACACGGTTTTTGAGATGCCAAACTCGTCGTTATGGATCTCTAACTCCCCAGGAAATTCGCAGATGTAACTTTGCTGTATGCTACAACCACCCACTATTTTGCAGTGTCAGCTGGGCTGGAGCTCAGATCCACCCACTCCCACCGCACCGGGCCCATTATACTGGCGTTGAAGGCAAAATGCAAATTGGCTCTGCTGAACATGGTTGTCTTATGCCATGCAATGGGGTGGTAAAAACAGAACCCATGGCATCTCATTCCCGGTTCGGCACCTGAACCACAAGATTCTTTTCCTCGTTATCTCTTTGTCAAAACCTCCTCTTTCCACTGGATAGGGTGCTAAAATGCAACAAAACTCTGGCTAATTTGCTGCAGGAAACCATTAAGCTTTGGGCAAGGAGATGGAAGAAGTCATCCAATTAGTTACAGCTGCTGGTGTCCCCTGGTCCTGGTTTGGTGTGCTTTATCGATGCCGAACAGAGGTAGATAAGCATTGCTCCTTTTTTCTTTACGTGTGAATATCTGTCCAGGCCATGTTTCCTACGACTTCAGACACCTGCTAGGCTCTTTGAGCCTTGGGAAGGAACAGTATTTCATTTAGTTTGCTGCACTTGTTCCAGGGCAGGATTTATTTCTCCTTTTCCTAGACCACAAACAACATCACTGCCTCTGGAGAGCAAGGGTGGTGGCTTTCTACATCAGCCTGTCTTTAGGTCCTATTTATAAATGAGGAGAGTGAGAAAATATGTTTAAAAACATGCAAGCTTTAAAAATAAAACTGTGACCTAGTCAAAGAGTAAACATTAGGGAAAAATAAAAATCTATTTTAAGAGATGGAAGCAGAGATGCAGCAGCAAAAATAATGAAAATAAATCATATTACTGTAAGTAGGAGGGTGTAAATCAGCAGCTCCTATCACTGACAGTTCAGAGATGCTGAGGACCTGGCTCAGCAGTGAAAAAGGAGGGAAGTGAAAAAAACATTGAGCGGGAAATAAAGCAAAGATGAGAAATGCATCTCTTTGCACATGTGATAGATTATCCATAAACAACAAGATCATGCTTCTGACCAGATAAAAGAAATCAATGGCCTAGTGTTTAAACCAGATTTAAAAATATACTTGGTGTCTGTCATTCTGCGTACCTCTGCTGAGCTGTAGTGTAACCTTTGTTTTTTCAGGTGGTCTTTCAATGTGAGGTTGCTCAGGGGGTGTTACAGGCACTGTGTTGAGAGTAAAACAGCTTAAAAAGGGATCGGAAGCTCTTACCGCGATGGACCTTTGGGAATTTGTCGCCTGTGAGGAACAGGTAGGGGTTCCTCGTCTGTTTTGTCACTTATGCATGCTTCCTCTTCCCCTGCAGGTTGCCCGGTCACTATGAACAATGGCCCAGCTATACTACAAAAAGGTAAACTATTCACCGTACAGAGATCGGATCCCATTACAGATTGTGCGAGCGGAGGCAGAGCTCTCGGCGGAAGAGAAGGCCTACCTCAGCGCTGTGGAGAAGGGGGACTATGCCAGCGTGAAACATGCCTTACAAGAGGCAGAGATCTACTACAACATCAACATTAACTGTATGGATCCTCTTGGTCGCAGTGCCCTTTTAATAGCCATAGAGAATGAAAATCTGGAGATCATGGAGTTGCTTTTGAGCCACAGTGTCTATGTGGGAGATGCTCTGCTGTATGCAATACGGAAAGAGGTTGTGGGAGCTGTGGAGCTGCTGCTGAATTACAGGAAGCCAAGTGGTGAAAAACAGGTTAGTTGAGTGTTCCAGTTCAGTTTTAAGTTACTATCCTGCATTAAGAAAGTGGTAGTACACAGAGAAGTGCTGTGCAGGAGTCATGAAACAAAGTCCTTAATGTAGGTCCAATGCTTTAAATGCCCAGAGTAGATGTGGGCAGTTCTGTTTGGATGCTAACTTTACAGTCTGCCTGACTTAAGTACTCAGCATTTTCGATTTCACTCAGTGTTCTTTTCAGTCTTACAGTGTTTGTGGACATACTGATTTATAGGTTGATTTATAGACGTGTGCTTTGTAAAGGAATTTGGGGCTGTCCAAAATTATATTACAATCTATAAATATGAACTATTGCCATGCTGTTGTACTGATATTAAGTGGAATTGCTTTTCATAAGCCTGAAAACACACGAGCTTATAAATAACTGTCAGCAAGCAAGAAGTCTGCTAGGTTTCAGTACTTAGCCAGAGTACAGACTTATCATCTTGGTCTCCATCTCCAGAGAGCTCTAGCTCAGAAACGCTGAGGTAGTACAGGACGTTACAGCATGAGCTAAGCTGCTATATATCTGAGCAAAGAACAACTGTGACTTGTAGGAAGGATCCTTAGCTACAGAGCCATCAGTAAGTTATGCAAGGATCTTTGTGAAAAACCACAGTCTGCATCCTGTCACTTCAAGTGTCACATACCACACTCTTCCTAACATTTCTTTTTTTTTTTTTTTTTTTTTTTTTTTTTTTTTTTTTTTTTTTTTTTTTTTTTTTTTTTTTTTTTTTTTTTTTTTTTTTTTTTTTTTTTTTTTTTTTTTTTTTTTTTTTTTTTTTTTTTTTTTTTTTTTTTTTTTTTTTTTTTTTTTTTTTTTTTTTTTTTTAACATTTTTTTTTTTTTTTTTTTTTTTTTTTTGCTTTTTTGCTTCTTTTCATTTGCAAGTACTACTGCCAGTGACTAGAATAGTTTATGGACATTACTGACCACTGACAATTTTTGCATGTTCACTGCTTGGAAAGGAACATTCGAAACTTGGATAATCCTTATATATCAGGCCTTGTTTTGACATCTACTTGAACACATCCCTCCATGTGTGAAAGAAGGAAACGGTTAATACCAGTCAATCATAGAAGAAAACATTTTCAATGGATAGGCCCGTTAGGACGTAGTTTTTCAGCAGTATTTTTATGTAGCCAAAGCAAACAATAAGGAGCAACCCTGATGACATTCAGCAGTGCTCAGCTTAATTCTTAGAAGTGGCAGCGTTCTGCATGCTGTAGCAATGTGATTACAGTGTGTGGCTGAAACACGAAAGAGGTGAAGGATCTCTTCTATCAGACCTAATAATTGGAATGTTAGCACTAGGTCTTAGTCTGACAAAATGTAAGTTGCAAAATGCGGACCATACATGGAGAATGAGCCATTTTTTCCTCAGTCTTGTAGAAAGTATGACCATCCTATAGGCCAACAGGACGGAAAGTAGAATAAGAGAAAAATTTTTTTTGGTAGCATGAGGAACTGCCAGTGATAATTGCAGGTTGATGACAAGTTTCTCATGAAAGGTCATGGGAAGCAAGTGATGGGATTCATGTGGATTTCTGTGAGATCTCTTGAATACCAAAACTTGTGTCCACACAAATTCACAGCCTTGCTGGCTTAACTGGACAGAGGCAGAGGTCCATGAAATGAGGTTGATTTATTGCAGCTGAAATTCAGCTCCAACGTCTCTAGTTCAGTGATGCATTTCATAGGAGGTCTGTTTCATGTTTCTTTATCTCTGTGCCAGCGTGCAGCTATCCTTCTGTAGCTAGGTTTGTATCTGCTGCGAAGTTCACAACTTGAAGGAGAACATGTGTGTGGGAGCAGAGATGCAGTGCCAGTTTCAGCTTTATTTACAAGGTTTGCTACAAGACCAGATTTCATCAGTACATTTTAGACTAGTACTGGCTTGATGGAAGATCCTATGTACAAACTAAGATTAACTTCCCTGGCTGTGGTTCAGGCTTCTCTGTAGACTGCAGGAAGTGTTTGCCGGTAGAGGGCTGCAGGACTGGACTTCCATTTCAGCAGTTTCGCTGATTGCTCATGCAGCGATGGTAATTAACATTTATTTCATGTATAGTGATGTAACATTAAATGGAAAGAAGTGCTTAGTTAAGCAAAGTTGGGACAAAGTTGGTTAGCTTGTCAAATCACAAAGCTAATATAGGAGGGGTGTCTGAACACAAGTTCCTGATGCTGGTTCCACAGCAGTATCAATATACGTTCAGTAGTTATCTTTGCTGGACCCTTGCTCAGAAGTTCTTTTGGGAATCCCATACCTAATTGCTTTCACAAAAAGCGTCTGATAAATCAGATTAGCACAGCTTTGTCCTAATCAGCTACTTACATGTTCTAAAACATAGAAAACCTGTTTTTTTTGTTGAGTAGTAACAAAAATTCACACTTCATGGCACGGTTTCTGTCTGGCTGAAAAATTTGTAAGATAGTGTCACAGCACTTCTTATATATAAGGTTTAGTATAATCTATTCATTAAATGTACACAAGGTTCAGTTTGCCTGAACAAACCTGTGTGAAGGCAGCTCCTCCACTCACGTGTGGCAGCCTGTTTCCAGTTAGGGGCTGTTTGTCTTTGCTGCGCTCCGGGCAAAGGTGCAGAAGCAGCATCTCCTGATTGCTCTCTTACACCTTCAATACATTGCCTTCATTCATCAGAGTCTGGAGTCTGTGAAAACCTGTTAGTTCCCCCTTTCCTGCTGTCTGCCTTGGAGAGGTTATTATTACTCTGTACCAACGTCTTGTTTCTCTAACTGCCAGGCACAAAGAGCTGTTCCTATTTACGTCTGTTCATGTCAGCTCAGTTAATTGTTGTCTTTACATCTCAAAAGCAGCTGAGTAGCATCATTCAGCATGATACGTTTTATGGGCATGTATCTTTGCTCATTCCCACAGCCTTATCACTGTACCACAATCCTGACTGAAAATGTTACAGGCTGCATTATACCAGCCTCTTCTGGGGTTACAGTGACTGTATCTATAGTTAGCAAAAGAGACACCCAAAATGAGGTAGAAAACCATGGCCCCTTACACGCTTGACAGTGTGTAAAGCAGTTTCGCTCACCAGCCAGAGTCTTTAAAGGGTGATGTGTCCTGGGTGCTCCATACCTGTGTCTCTTGAGAGCTGCCTGAGGGGAAAAGCTCTCTGTATGATGACCTTTCCAAGGAGCAGAAGCAAAAAAACTTTCAAATATAGGAAGTGACCTTTATTGTGTTCCTTATGTAAGAGAAGCAGGGTCTTATTCACGATGTAAGGGACAGACGCTGGAGTTCTGTTATTAAGTGAACGCAGGCAGTCATTGTTCTGCAAACCTTTGCTACACTGCTGTTTAAGTGCCATTTACTGAAAATACCATGACAATGGAAGGGGTAAGTCATAGCCAGTAACTATAACAACACGCTTCTCCTGCACTGCAGCTGTGCGTGAGGGGTGTCTCAGGAGAGGAAGAAATGACTCTGTTTACATGTGGAGCATGTGAGATCCAGGAGCATGAACCACCTCTCTCTAAAGGCTGCTACAAAGCACATGATAGATGAGTGTGCTGAGCAGCGATGTGTTCCAGTAGATGTATTTCCTTTTGGGTTTACCTCCAAGCGAGGTTCACGGGCTATTTTTAAGAACGTAACATTTTTCCTCATATCTGTTCTGCCTGGTCTTGTCAACTTACAGCCACGGTTCTGCTCACAGCTCGGTGAGTCTCCTGATAAAGCTGGGGAGAAGACTTCACCAGCTACAACCAGAATGTGGCTAATAAAGTTACAGCTGTTTCGAAAGATACTGGCACCTACGGGAGATTTTGGGTTCAGTGAGAGTCATCATGGAGCAAGCATCCTACTTTTGCTACCATGGGAAGACCATAGAGGTGTGCTAGTGTGCTTCACTCCCAGCAAAGAGTAAAGCCCAGGCTTTAAAGGACCCATTTCTCTCCTTCAGATCAGAGCTAACCTCTCCTCAAATATGCCACACCGTGCTCTGAGGTGTACTCTCTTTTTTTTTTTTATCGTCAGTGTGCAAGTGTGGTCCAGAGTGCGATGGAGGGTGCCTGTGTGCAGAGCATGTGGTGCTGCAGGCTGTGACAGCCCTGCCTGCCCACCGTGGTGTAGGCAGGAGCTCTGCGGACCTCAGGGGGACACGGTCCGGACCTGGCACAGCATGAAGAGCTGAATTCTCAGTGAAATAAAGGAAAATTCGATTATCTACTCAAAATAGATTAAGTAACAAAAGAGCTTTTCTGGTTCTGTGATTTTTACAAGTTCATTTGTTATTTCCAGATGTTTCGTAATTTACTCTGATTAATCCTCCAAGCTTCTTTTTTAAACCATAGTTCGCTTTGGCTGGTCACTTAAATCGTAGGATAGTTTGTTTTTTTCCCAAGTAGATGACAGACATTTGTAAACCAAGCAGCCTATTCATGAATATTAAGAGAACAGCAAAACAAACTAATATTCATGGAACCTGGAGGGTATGCAAGTATTGCTTTTCCTTCGGAGATTTGTAGTCAGAGATTTGTAGTCAGTGAATATGTATTCTCCAGGAAAAAAAAGTGAGCCTAATCTGGTGCTTTGATAGTTGTTGTTTACTTTTCAGGACAGTGAAGAGGCTGATACTGTACTGCGCAGTGGCGGAAGAGTAGTATACGTGTACTGCAGACTGCTTGGCATGGCAATCCATACTCAGGTCGTCTTCATGATGAGTGTCAAGTTAAATAAATAACAAACCACTGAAGAGTGAGGCTAAGTTAGAAATAGTAAAAATCAGCACACACAGCTGCAGTATAGACTTTGGCCCAGCCATATTGAGTCAGGTGGCTCATCTCTTTTGGGATAGGAATGTTACACTGCAAAGTTGTCTGTGCACAGGACAGGTCCAGTACATACAATGGCAAAACAACACTTTTTGTACTATTCTATAGGTACACATCAAAACCAGACATCTGGCTGGGGTCCTATGGGGTTGGAATTAACAGGGAAC